GAGCTGCACTAGTGGTTGTCGACTGCGTGTACGCACCAAAGTGCTCACAAATCGCACGCCATTCCTGTCAGTTGAGCGGGGATAATATGCTTTTACATCTACGTCCTAAAACTTTTTAACGATCTTTCAGGCAGTAGGGTCCAAAGCCTGGGAGAATGCGTCTCTCCAGTTTACTGTATTCAGTAGCTGGTGCAATTCTTGAGAACAGCGTTGAATACTGATGTATTGGCGGTGTTAGCAATCAGTGTATACTAACAACGAACTAACTTAATTGTAGGGGTAGGTTTGTAGCGGTCTAAGTAGTGGTTGTACTCGGATCATCAGGTCGAATCCCAGGTTGGAGGTAAGAGGCAGAATGCACCTGTTAGAGAGGTTTATTGTATACAGAACTCTCGACTGCTGTCTCAGGTGATAGGGGTCACTATAAAAGCCAGGGCTAGTGTTGACTGCGTCCAGCTAGACATGAGAGAGCCGACTGTCTGTTGTGTGGGGTGATAACAGTTGCTTTTACATGACTCTGAAGGGAGTTCAAGTGTTCTGTCCTTGGTGTGTTGCAATTGCCCGAGCGGGTGTTGCCTGTAGAGGTCTTTTCTGCATCGGCCGAGGGGTGGTGTATTCAATTGGCACTTAGGCAGGCCAGCTTATTTGTACGCATGTCTACGCGCGAGCGTGTGCGTGTGCGCACGTGTGTACGTGACTGAGTAAGCTGAGGTCAACTGTAGGGACCGCCGGAAAGCCGAAGGATAGGGGGAGCTAGCGCAGTTGTTATCAGTTAGCCAGAAACAGCTCCGAGGTCAAGCCTCGGGGGAGCGGAGGCGCCCGTGAAAGAAAAAATTGGAACAGTTGATTGTGACGACACAACGTTGTGTCAACAAAGGGGGGATAGACATTGTGGCTGTCCGCCACAGGTTAAACAGTCAGCTTCTGGTAGTAGGATAGAAGATTGTCCATGATTGAGTGAAAAATAGAATCATGACAAGTTAATTTCAAAAGCTGGTGGCTATCATCTCCCCGCATGACAAGTGGAAAGGGATACAATGATGCTGAGCTCCTAGATAGGACCAGATTTCCAATTTACGTATATTTTCCCTAAGAATTCTTCGCCCAGTGTGAAATGTATTTATCTATGTCCAGCTTAAGGGAACTGCCACTTCTATTTTTGTCCAGATCAAGGTGACGCCTGGGGCTTTTTGAAGCCGTAAAGGCCTGTAAAGCCGGTGTGTGTATGCACGTGAACTACCAGTTGGATCAGTTTTCCGAGATTGCAAAAGATGTGAGGATTTTAGTTTAATACGTCCCCCAGAATGCAGCAAGATTATTCATTACTTTTTCCTATATGTTGGCAAAGCAATCTTAAGGTTGAACACAAATCAAACTTAATTGATCAGTTCTGGTTCTCAGAAACCGACCCTCGTGTTTTTTCCCTCCAATCTGTCTTGGTATAACTGAGAAGATCAGTTCTGGCGAAATTGCTGTCTTCAGCCACCCAAAAGTCAAGTTGAAACTACCTCGGGGTCCCAACCTGGGCTTTTAGTCATTTAACATTAATCAATAGGGGACTTCGCAGATTTAAATAATTCATTCGACCTAACTGTGTAAAATGCAGTGGACTTGACGGGATTCGAACTCACGACAGCAACAAGGCTTTGGTGCAGTCAACGCCCTCTAACCACCTGAACTACGAGGCCCCTGCCAGAGCTGTGAATTTAATCACATTTGGATCAATTTACCCGTCCAGCCTATTGTAATGTATGGAATCCACCAATTCTGGTACAGTAAGCTGACTGCTAAAACAGGATTTCCTAAGGAATCAAGCTAGAATCCGCCAGAGGAATACCGGGTGGACTAACTTCATAGGGCGATTTGGACCAATATGAATCGCATTTTTTTATCTGATTATGAAAAAAACTTGTCGGACGCCGTGGGACTAAAATCCACGACAGCAAGGGGAAGTAGAGCCAATGCTTTCACCATCTGATCCAAGTGTGATTAAACTCACGGCGCTCGGTGCAGCCTCGTAGCTCAGAAGTTTAGAGCGTTGACTGTTCTGAAGCCTTCCCCTTGCTGTCTTCGGGTGTGAATCTCCCCAAGGTCAAATTAATTTAGCAGTACGGCCTGTCCTGTTGGTTGTGGCCGCATGGATGGATCTGTAGTAGAGGTCCTAATGCAAGACTTAGTAAGGGCAGATTCGGGAGCGACAACTGCAGCTCACGTTGAATATCCCTCTTTCGGTTCAGTGCCGGTATCCTGGTGAGTAGGAGGGGAGATGGGAAATTTAGCTCTTGTAGTCTTTGGAATCCGGTTCTTCTTACAACACTTCAAAATCCGGGCGAAGCCGGTTTGGATACGCCTGTACTCGCAATTGTCGGACTACTTTCGAATGTGATGCGCAGAGCCGAATGCTACGCTGACCACCGCCTCGTGGCCTCGTCTGCAACATCGAAAACCCACACGCGACGGTCTTGGGGTAAAATAACATCAGTGCTTTTAATACTACTAACTGAAAATATGTCTGAACATTGGCTAAATTCTGGCAACTACATGAGCGTCAGTCTGGCTGAGAAAAAGGTGTTTTTTTGGACTCGCGTTGCTTCTCTTCCACCCCACCCTTCGGGCTATAACAAACGTCTTTCGT